AAGAAACAAGGTGATATTATCAAGGACTGTCCTACTCGACCTCAGAATCGTCAAGCTAATTCTTATTAGGCCGCAGTCAATGCTTCTTCTTTTGCTCTAGTAATGTCTTCAAACAATTCTACTGTTGCTGGACAATCTATTCTTACTCCTGAAATGGTTCAACAAATAATTGTTTCAGCCTTTTCAGCATTAGGACTTCAAGGCAATGGTAATACTTCATCTCAATCTTGGCTTGTAGATTATGGTGCGTCTAATCATATGACCAGTTCATCTGAAACTCTTTGAAATGTTTGTAAATATCATGGCTCATCACATATTTAGATTGCTAATGGGAGTCATTTAAATATAAATGTTGTTGGAGATATTAGTCCATCTTTCAAAGATGTTTTTGTAGCCCCTGGACTTTCTACTAGTCTTATTTCGGTTGGTCAGTTAGTTGATAACTACTGTGATATCCATTTCTCTCGTGATGGTTGTCTTGTGCAGGATCAGGTGTCGGGGAAGATACTCGCAAAGGGGCCTAAAGTTGGCAGATTGTTTCCACTACATTTTTCCATTCCTAGTTGTTTATCTTTGGCTTGTACGACTGTTAACAATAAGAGTGAAGTATGACATAAACGTTGGGTCATCCCAATTCTGTTGTTTTGTCTCATTTGTTGAACTCTGGTTTGTTGAGTAATAAAGATCAATTTTCACATAATCTATCTTTTGATTGCTCCATTAAATTAGGTAAGAGTAAAACTCTTCCTTTTCCTTCGCATGGTAGTCGTGCAGAAAAGTGTTTTGATATTATGCATAGTGACTTATGGGGCATTACACCTGTAATTTCTCATGCTCAATATAAGTATTTTATGACGTTCATTGATGATTATAGTTGGTATACTTTGGTCTATTTTCTTCGGTCCAAATTTGAAGTCTTTTCGATTTTCAAGACCTTTGTGGCGTATGTTGAGACTCAATTTTCTACACGTATTAAAGTCTTGAGGTCTGATTCTGGTGGGGAATATATGTCTCATGAGTTTCATGATTTCCTACACCATAAAGGAATTGTCTCCCAATGCTCCTGCCCTTCTACACCACAGCAAAACGGCGTGGCAGAACGAAAAAATCGCCATCTTTTGGATGTAGTTCGCACCTTAGTACTTGAGTCCACTGTTCCTTCTAAACTCTAGGTTGAGGCTTTGTCTACTGCAGTTTATCTAATTAATAGAGTGCCCTCTCATGTCTTAAAATTTGATTCTCCATATTATCGTCTTTATCATCAGCATCCTAGCTACCTTGATATGCATACTTTTGGTTGTGTTTGTTTTGTTCATTTACCTTCTTATGAACGTCACCAACTTTTTGCTCATTCTATTAAATACTACTTTATGGGTTATAATATTTCACACAAAGGCTATGTTTGCTATGATCCATGCTCTAACAATTTTCGTATTTCTCGTCATGTTGTCTTCTTTGAGAATCAACCTTTCTTTTCTACACATGTTGAGTCGTTGCCTGAAATTAGTGTTCTTCCTTATTTTGATAACTTGCCTTCTTTTCCTGAGCAGCTCAAACTTGGATTTGTGTATGAACGATGTCGACTGAATTCGCCCCTTCATGAGTCTAACCCATCATCTGAGACTGTTTAGCCGACTCTTCCTGAGTCTGACTTGCCATCTGAGACTGGTCTGATTGCTTCTTCCGAGCCCGGCGCACCTCCTAAGCCTGGTCCTAGACGCTCTACCAGAGTTTCTCGTCCTCCTGATTAGTATGGTTTTCATACTTCTCTTAATGCTACTTTGTCTTCTACTCCTATTCCTACATGTCACTCCGAGGCTGTCAAACATGACTGTTGGCAGAAGGCAATGGATGAGGAACTTCGGGCTCTTCAAGAGAATCATACTTGGGACATTGTTCCTTGCCCTTCTACTGTTAAAGCCATTGGTTGCAAATGGGTTTATTCAATTAAGCTTTGCTCTGATGGGACCCTGGATCGCTATAAGGCACGGTTGGTTGCACTTGGTAACTGGCAGGAGTATGGAGTGGACTATGAGGAGACATTTGCTCCAGTGGCAAAGATGACTACCGTGCGTACTGTTCTTTCCATTGCAGCTTCCCAGGGCTGGCCACTTCACTAGATGGACGTCAAAAATGCTTTTCTTCATAGTGATCTCAAGGAGGATATTTACATGGCATCTCCATCGGGTTTGTTCTCCTCTCCTTCTTCAGACGTGTGCAAGTTGAAATGGTCTCTCTATGGCTTGAAACAAGCTCCTTGGGCATGGTTTGAAAAGTTTCGGTCTACCTTGATATGCTTCTCATTTGTGCAGAGCCAATATGACTCCTCTCTGTTTGTTTGCAAGACTTCTTCTGGTATTGTCCTCCTACTTGTTTACGTAGATGATATTGTCATTACAGGAACGGATTCCTTATTGATTACCCGACTCCAGCACCATCTTCAGGACTCCTTTCATATGAAGGATCTTGGTCCTCTTACGTATTTTTTAGGGTTGGAAGTTCATACCGATTCTGTAGGTATATTTTTGAATCAACACAAATATATACAGGATTTAATTGCTTTGGCTGGACTTTAGGATTCTACTTCGGTGGATACTCCTCTAGAAGTGAATGTGAAGTACCGTTGTGATGAGGGTGAACTTCTTCTTGATCCTACCATGTTTCGACAGTTGGTTGGCAACTTGAACTACTTGACTATTACACGACCTGATATCTCTTTTGCAATCCAGCAGGTTAGTCAGTTTATGCAAACTCCACGTCATCTTCATTTAGCTACTGTTCGTCGTATCATTCGGTATCTCCAAGGATCTGCAAGTCGTGGATTGTTCTTTCCTGCTGGTTCTCCTCTTCGCCTTACTAGTTTTAGCGTCGCTCTGTTACGGGTTGGTGTATGTTTCTTGGCAATTCCTTAATATCCTGGAAGAGTAAAAAATAGGCTCGTATTTCCAAATCCTCGACTGAATCCGAATATCGTCCGATGCCTGCTGCTTGCTCGGAGATTGTTTGGCTTCGTGGGCTCTTGGCTGAGCTTGGATTCCCTCAATTAATCCCACTGCTCTACACGCTGATAACACAAGTGCAATTCAAATTGCTTCTAACCCTGTTTATCATGAGCGTACGAAAGCATATTGAAGTGGATTGTCACTCTATTCGGGAAGCCGTGGATACTCGTGTCATCTCCCTTCCGCATGTTTCCACCAATCTTCAGATAACTGATGTGTTTACCAAGGCCATGACTCGGCAACGCCATTATTTTCTTGTAAACAAATTGATGTTTCTTGATCGACCAGCATCAATCTGAGGGGGGATATCAGTGGGATATGGGATATGTATGTTGTCATTACCAATACATATCTATCCATATTTACTATATATGTTTATTGTATATTAACTGTCAATATTTGTAATTAGTAGGGAATATTGCATTCCATATTTAGATAGATTAGGAGCTGTAATTAGTAGATTTTTTGACCAGTATTATGCTCTGGAGTTTCTATTTAATAGATGAAACTCTCTCATTGAGAGGTATTCAGTATCATTGACACAACCATGGTAACTTGACGATTATAATAAACTTATTCAATTTTTCTATGTAAATCTTGGTCTGTTTGTGTTTTCTTTATTAGATATGTACATATATTACCACTCTCTATAACAGTTTAAAAACATAGATGAGTTGGTGGCTTAACATGGTATCAAAGCTTACCCGTGTAAACTACTGTGTGGATTTGGGGCCAATGCTGTGAGGGGTCAGTGTTGACTGGGATCGTTGTATTTGTGATCAATTATGGGCCTCTCCGAGGACGTAGGGGAATAAAGAAGGGGAGATTATGGGCGAACTGCATTGGCATGTGTGGTGGATCCCACAATGGAAGTTAAGTACATATGTTACACCCCTCTCTAACAGTTGACGCTTTTAGATGAGTTGATGGTTTAACATTCTTAAGTTATTTTGTATCTCCGTTCTTCGCTTATGAGTTGTTGGCTGAGTGATTGAAGATTAACATTGAGCTTTAGCCAAAGGCCATTCGGACAGGAGGCTGAGCTTGTTTAAATGGTGTATTCCAGTGAACGAAATTTGTTGGGTGTTCAAACGCATTGTATAATAGTGGAGAATGTTCGAGGAACGTCCGATCTACTTCTAAACAAAGAAGGGTTACAAGGGTTGTTTGTGTCAAGAGTGCCATCAAAATGAGTATTATGATATGGGTGAGTAGCAAAACAACAATAGATAGAAATGGGATGAAATGCACTGATAAGAAGCTAAGTGACACTGTGCAGGAAAGTATGGAGGAGTGGGTTTGTCAGATTGAAGGAGGTGAAAGGACATGACAAAAGCAACATGAGTTTAGGTTATGAGAAATGACATGACTGCCTCAGGTGTAAATGGGATATGGCTCTGCATAGAGCGGAATGCGGAGATAAATCAATTTTTTTTGTAGAAAATTGTCAGATGTGCAGCTTTTAAAGAGACATGTATCCCTTGCTGCTGACCTTTTTCACAGCTTCCATGTGTGACCTCCCAAGTCACCCCTCTCTATAGAGCCTTCCCTTAGTTCAACATTGCCTTTTCTAAGTGATGCTACTGCTGGTCATTTATGTAAAATCGTAACGCATTAGTAACTTTATAGAGTCACTTCATAATCTTTGTCCTTATTGCAACCATTTATTTTTAGAACTTGTTATTTACAATTATTTTGTCTGAATTGATTTATTCCTTCTCATGGAATACTTTTTGTACGTCTCAAACTAAGCCCTGACTCAAGGCATCTCTGCGTGTATAGAAATGTTCTTTATTTTGGTCTTGAACTTCAGCGCAGGAGGCATATTTTCACCTGTTAAATCAATAACCATTTGTGGGTGCAGGGACTACAAAAATTTTCTTTCTATGGAATGTGGTTTATGTACCATATTTTTTTTGGGCATTCTGATATTTTAATGGTGTACGTATATTAAACAATACTTTAAAATATTATTTTAATCCTGTTGTTCTAGTGCAGGTTTCAGGTGAAAAAGAAGCAATTTTTCCGTAACTTCATTACCATCATGCTTTTTGGTGCCATTGGTACACTAATTTCATGCGCTGTTATATCATTCGGTAATTAAAGCAATTTTTCCATAAATTCATTCATCATGCTTTTTGGTTCCTCTGGTACACTAGTTCCATGCACTTTTATATCATTCAGTACCTCTTTTTTATGTTTTGTTGTGTTTTTTCAAAATTCTTTGTTAGTAGCGTGAAAAATATGTATGTATTTTATATTCCTGGATCTTCTGGACTCTGGACTTTCTTTGTTGGACACAAACTCACATGAATTTTATATTGTTTATGGTGGGCTATCCTCAAATGATCATTTATAATGTCCACAAGATATAGGAGTGATATCTCAATAACTTTGCTTCTTTTTTATATAACTGTGTTGACTGCGTGTAAGAAATATTGTGAAATTTAAAATGAGGATGAATTTGACTTAGAAAATTGGAAATTAACAAAACTAACTTGTTTATAGATATTTTGTTTTTTTTTGGGGGGGGGGGGGGAGTGCTAGAGAGTTCTTTTGAGACTTATAGAGAGCTAAAGCTTGGTTCTATAGACTTTGACTGCACCAAGACTTGTAAAAAGCTTGAAGGAGGCTTAGACTCCCACTTGTAGTTGTATAATAGTCTTAGACTTAGGTTTATATTTACTTGCATCAAGGGAGATAGATTATCTTTTGGTTGCGGTGGAAACCCTCCAAAAGTGACTAGCTTTCTTCTACTTTCATTTATTGTCTGTCACTTCCATTGCATGAGCTTCTGTCTTCCTTTAGAGGAGTGAAACTCTTCCACTTTTCTAGAGCTTTACTAAAGCCGTGATGGGTGGAACATGATACATCCATTCTTTTTGGAAGATCTACTCCTCGCTTATTGTGTTTTACCATGTAAAGTCCTCTACTTGAAGGGATGAGTATCACTCACTTTTCTAACTTTACTGAAGCCATGAAGAGTGAGTAGTTTCTCATTCACTCTTTAGGAAGAGGTGAGGGACATGTATAAATCATCC